TCTATCTATCTATCTATCTATCTATCTATCTATCTATCTATCTATCTCTCTATCTCTATCTCTATCTCTATCTATATATCTATATATCTATATATCTATATCTATATATTGATCTGATAAATAGATATATACTCCGTGTACCTCCCTCTGACATGGCTCTTCCCAAAGACACGAATAAAAACCGTCAGGAATTGCGTGGCGGCTTAACTTTAAAATAGATACGAAGTGGAGATGGCTCTGTGGTTTGGTCCCAGCCCTAAAAGGAGGAGTCTGTTTTTGAAAACATCTCAAAATAAAATACTAGGTGAACAAATAGAATTGGCAAGGTCCCCTTATATAAAAGACCACACCTGCTTTTTGCTAAAACAGGTCCTTTCAATGATCTCAAATCCCTTAAAAATGGTAGATCCAGGAATTATCTGCTGTTCTAGCTTTCCATCCCATATCCACACATTTTAAAAGTACCCATTGGGGAATTCTGGGAGTTGAAGTCCACACGTGGACTTGCCATCTGTCAGAAATGGTGTAGGGTCTCTTGCTTGGGCGGGGTTGGACTAGATGACCAATAAGGTCCATTCCAACTCTTGTTATTCTATATTCAATCCTTGGAATATCTTAAAAGTGCTGGCTGGGGAATTCTGGGAGTTGAAGTCCACACATCTTAAAAGGTGCCAAATTTTGGGAAATAGTGATGTCAAAACTTCACACTTCATTTTTAACCCAGTTTGGAATTTTTTTTGGGGGGGGGGGGTGGAAAGCCCCTGGAAAATAGCAGAGGGGTGTGAGTAGGTCTGTAGCCTTGGCCAGCTCCATTGTCAGTGCTGGAGAAATATATGAAATATATAATTCATGCCACGCAAATCCATACCTTTTAAAGAGCGGAATTCTGAATTTCCTGGAGAGGATAGTATTTGGGGTTCAAGCCAACACAGGACAGACAGACACACTGCGATCCGGTTAATTTTTACACAAATCTCCCAAGATCCCCTTGTAACCTGCGTTCTCCAGGATCTGATGCCGTGTTTGCACGCTCGATCGAAGCCAGCGGAGTTGATCGGAGCAACCGGCTTGCTTGCAAACGGGCAGAGAAGATTCTTGGAAGACGTTAATAACCACCATGAATATCTAGTACTTGGTGCTGGTAGTTTTTTCCTCCCCTTCCCTCCCCTCCTTCCCGCACACAAAAAACATACTTGCATCCTTTGTTCCTTGGGCAAAGCTCGGCAGACATTTGTTGTTTTCCGGCATTAAATATGTTCGGCGAGGTAATTAACGAGACGAAGGCTAATTATAACGGGTGTCCGTTAACGAAATGTCAAACCTATTGAAGCTTCGTTTCCATAATGCTGGTAATGAGCCCCTTGCGCTGAGGGTCTGAAGGGTTAAAATCTGGAACGGACCGAAATCCTTTTTCCTGGTGGGACTTTGGCCCGCAGGGAAACTCCCTCTCTGCGCGCGACCGCTGTTCGTTCCTTTCATCCGGTGTGTGTGTGTTTTTGTTTCATTTGTCCTTTCTCTCTTTCTCCCTCTCCCTCCCTCTCCCTCCCTCTCTCCCTCCCCCCTTTCTTTTTGTCTACTTCTCCCTCCAGTATTTTAAGAAGCAGAAACGGCTCATCCCCGAACGGACCGTTTGGAAATACTTTGTGCAGTTGTGCAGCGCGGTGGAACACATGCATTCCCGCAGGGTGATGCACAGAGGTAAACCTGAATTCCGCCGCTTTTTAAAAATTTCTGTTTTGTGCAGAAGAAACGGTCGCCTTAGGAAGCCTCTGCCTTGCGGAATGATTAATGCTGCGGACGTGCCGGCCTTTTTCCTGCTTCTCTGGGAAGGGGGGCAGCAACGGCGCAAGTGGAGTGTCTCTTTCCTCGCGTCCCATTGCAAAACACCCTGTCTTCAACCGACCACTACCAACAATGGGTTTCCACCAGCCGTCGCGGGCCAAAAAAAACCCCTCAGGATCAGTGCCCCCCTCTCCTTGGCATGGAGTGTGTGTGTGTGTGTGTGTGTGTATAGGGGTGTGTCGAGTTATGGGGCAGCAGGGAGCCACGACCTCCTCTTTCTCTTTGGAGGGGGTCTTTGAGGCTTTAGACCCCCCCAGGAAAAAAACAGATTTCGGGAAGATAACGAGTGCCAGCAAAGCTCCCCCTCCTCCATTCTCTTCACCGTCCTTCTGACATTCTCGGAATTAAGTAGCAGGTTTAATATTCTGTGCAGAGACGATTTCAGGTTTCCGGAAAAGTTAAAAGGCCGGGGATGGGGGGGGGGGAGATAAAAGCGGTCTTTTATATGCATTTTAACACTTGGTCTCGCCATTTTCAGCTATCGAGTCCTTCGTTTCGCTGGGAAGTTTTTTCATGGCTTAGCGGCAAGTTGGGCTGTCATCTAAGTACAGTATAATAAATCAATAAAACGAACGAACCTTTCAGGACAGCCCTGGAAAAGAGGCTAAAAAGGGCCTGTTTTAAATCGAATCACCCCCTCCCTACTCATGGAGTAAGTTGATCGCTAGAGAAGGATCGTAAGGGATCCAGAAATCTCTTTCTTGATCTCTGATTTCTTTCTCTTTCTCTCTTTCCTCTCCCAGACATCAAACCAGCCAATGTGTTCATCACAGCTACTGGAGTCGTGAAGTTGGGAGACCTCGGCCTGGGCCGCTTCTTCAGCTCTAAAACCACTGCTGCACATTCCTTAGGTAAAGCGGGGAGACCCCCCCCCCCCAAAAAAACCCCCCGGTTTGGCCTGCATTGTGGGTAGTCCTCACTTAGCACTTCCCTTCCCTTCCTTCTCCCTTCCCTCTTCTTCCTTCTCTCTTTCCTCTTCTTCTTTCTCCCTTCTCCTCCCTTCTTTTTCATTTTCCCTTCTTTCTTCCTTCTCCCTTCTTTCCTTCTCCCCTTCTCCTTCTCTTTTCTCTCGTTCCTCTTTTTCCCTTCTCCCTTTTTCATTTCCCTTTCTTCTCCCTTCCTTCTCCCTTCTTTCCGTCTTCCTTCTCCCTTCTGCCCTCCTCCCCTCTTCCCCCTCCTCTCTTCCCTTCTCCCTTTTCTTCCTTCTTCCTTCTCTCTTTCCTCTTCCTTCTTCCTTCTCCTTTCTCTTCTCCCTTCTTTTTCATTTTCCCTTCTTCCTTCTCCCTTCTCTTTCCCTCTTCCTTCTCGTTTCTCCCTTCTATTCTTTCTCCCTTCTCTCTTCCCTCTCCCTTCTTCCTTCTCCTCCCCCTTCTTTTCTCTTCCATCTCCCTTCCCTTCTCCCTTCACTTCTCTGTTCCCTTGTCCTTCTTCCTTCTCCATCCTCCTCTCCCTTCTCCTTTCTCTCTTCCCTCTCCCTTCTGTTCTCTCTTCTCCTCTCTTTACTTCTCCCTTCTTTTTTCTCCTTTCTCTCTTCTCTTCTCTTCTCTTCTCTTCTCTTCTCTTCTCTTCTCTTCTCTTCTCTCTTCTCACTTTTAACAGTTTCAGTGGGTTTTCACCTTTCTGTATCAATTTATCCTCAAGGAGATCAGCTAGTCCCACACCAACCTCCTGTTGCAAACCCAAACAGGAGAGGAAAGGAGAGCAACAACACAGCTTCTCTCACCTGTGGCTCGACAGAATAGAATTCGAAATAATATTGAAACTCTTGCCCGAAAACAACACCCTTTTTCATTTCCCCTGGGGCAGGTAGAGGTCAGGCTGGGTTGCCAAGAGTCATTTGATGGTGGGAAGCCAAGGGGTAAAATGTAATTGATCACAACTACCAAGGATGCAAAAAAAAGGGGGTAACAAGGCAAGGCCTGTACCTGATTTTTCTGAGCTGGGAAGCTAAGTAGGGTCAAGTTATGCAGTGGGGGGCTGATACCATGAAAAAACATCCTATAAAATTCAGCATTTGGAGGCCAGAAGCAATATACCACATCCCCATTGCTGATCAGAAACTTCAGGGTTTCTGTAAGACCAGGGGAGACAGGATAGCAGTCTTCCAATATTTGAGGGGCTGCCACAGAGAGGAGGAAGGTGTCATGCTATTTTCTAAAGCACCCGAAGGCCAGATGAGGAATAATGGATAGAAACTGAACAAGGAGAGATTCAACCTAGAAATAAGGTTGACAGTGAGAACAACCAACCAATGGAACAGAAGTTGCCTTCAGAAGTTGTGGGAGCGCCATCACTTGAGACTTTCAAGAGGAGATTGGACTCCCATCTGTCAGAAATGGTGTAGGGTCTCCTGCTTGGGCAGGGGGTTGGACTAGATGGCCTACGAGATCCCTTCCAGCTCTATTCTGATTGATTGATTCAACCTAGAAATGAGGAGGAATTTTCTGACGGGGAGAACAATCAACCCATGAAACCGAAGCTGCCTTCGGAAGTTGTGGGAGCTTCATCCCTGGAGGCTTTCAAGAAGAGACTCGACTGCCCTCTGTCAGAAACGGTGTAGGGTCTCTCGCTTGAGCGGGGGGTTGGACTAGATGACCTACAAGGTCCCTTCCAAACTCTGGATTATCTGTTGCTATCTGTAAAATCACCTGCAAATAGGCCAGAAGTTTCTTCAGCATGATGGACGCAAAGCTGGTTTTGTGTGCAACGCTCTTGATTCCGTTCCCTTTTCGTGGCCGTCCTTAACAAAGAAAATTCGCCTTTCGGTGAAGGGGGAGATCTGCGACTCCTGCAAAAGAGAGATCGAGCAATGCCCTGGAGGTGTTGGGAGGACAAACCTGTTAAAAAAAAAAAACAACCTTTCTTTTGGTGCTGGGAAAAGGCGCTCCGGATAGTCTAAAGCGAGAAAAAAAAACAAAAATCAAAAGGTGCCCAGGTTGGCTCTCGTGATGGGAGCCCCCTGGGCTGGTTTAACCCCCTTTTTAAAAAGTGCCCCTTTTTTTCCCCCCCCCCCCCTCCCAAAATCCCGTGCTTTCCACCTGTGCCATTTCAACACCGCTTTTCGCATCCTTTTTTTCCCGGCGGCGTAAGCTCGCCGGATCAGTTTTTTAACCTGGAATTCTTTGCAGTCCGATGGCCAGCAACAGGCGCCGCATCCGTGGCCTGATTCTGTGTGTGATCCTGGCTCCTTTCTATTTTCCTGGTTGCCTCGGCAACCGCCCTGAACTCTTTAAGTACCGAAGGCATGGCAACCCATGCGCAGAGCACTGGAGCTTATGCAAATAAATGGACCTGACTTTATTATTATTTTTTCTCTCCCCCCCCCCCCCGTTTTTTTTCCTCCCTCCCTTCCTCCCTCCCTCCCTCCCTCCCTCTTCCGTATTTGCCAACATCAAACCGGCATAAAAGGGCATTAGGCAGTGCCACAACTTGTCTGACAGGTATACTCCCAGCTCTGGCAGGGCAGACGCCTCCGTGTCAGAAACAGAAGCTGTAATTAGAGCAAGGAAGAGGATGTACGTCAAACGCATTACCTGCCGGCGGATCAAATTTGTCAGGAAGGATTGCATACATAAAAATTAAGTGACAGGACATGCCGGGGTAATGAAAGAAAGAAAGAAAAAAAAATGGGAAGATTTGCCCGCGTGTTCTTCACCGGAGATATGGGGAGTATGGCACAGCAAATTACGCGGGCGGCTTGTGTGCTACCCGCCTGCGTTTCAGGGGCGAGGCCTGGCTTCAGCCGAAAGCTGGCAGGAGGAACTTGGAAAGCCTTGTCAACTCCAGAGCTTTGAATCGTTAGAATAGAACCGAGCTGGAAGGGACCACGGAGGTCTTCTAGTCCAGCCCCCTGCTCAAACAGGAGACCCTATACAATTTCAGACAAATCACTGTCTAGTCTCTTCTTAAAAACCTCCAGTGATGGAGTGCCCATGATTCCGGGAGGCAAGCTGTCCCACTGTTTAATTGTCCTCACTGTTAGGAAGTTTCTCCTTAATTCCAGGTTACAATAGAATAGAATAAAGCTCGAAGGGACCATGGAGGTCTTCTAGTCCAGCCCCCTGCTTAAGCAGGAGAACCTATACCATCTCAAGACAAGTGACATGTGAGAAGCGAGCCTCTACAGGTATTGATTGGGTTTTGATCACCAGGCCAAAAAAGTCAGGTTTCCCCCCCCCCCCCCCCCCGCCCAACGCAGAGGCGGCGCCCTTTGGGGGGGACGTTGTCAGATTGCAGCATTACGTCGTTGTCGTTCCCTTCACCCCTGTCTTTTTCTAAACCCAAGCTGGCTTTGTGTCAGGCCAAAAAGCGGGGGGGGGGAAAAAATCAGGTTTTCCCAAGTACAAACACAGGATGCTGTGCCCTTTGGGGGCGACGTCGTCGGAATGCAGCATTACGTCGTGCCCCAGTCTTTTCTCGGCCCCTAACTGGCACTGCGCCAGGCAGAAAGGCAAAAAGATTCAGGCCACATCATTGGAATGCAGCGTTAGGTCGCTCTAGTCTTTGCTCATCCCCTGACTGGCATTGGCGGCAGGCGAAAAGGCAGAAAAGTCAGGCTTTCCCAAGAACGAACAGACAATGTCGTGCCCTTTGGGGGCGACGTCGTCGGAATATGCAGCATTACATCGTCCCCCCGGTCTTTCCTTAAAGCCAATCTTGCAGATTCTAATTTCCTCGTCTCGGCTTGTCTATTACAGTGGGAACACCTTATTATATGTCCCCGGAAAGAATACATGAAAATGGCTATAATTTTAAATCAGATATCTGGTCTTTGGGCTGTTTACTGTACGAGGTAAGTCTCTTGTTACTGCTTTTCTGTAATAATGGAACCAGAGATATCAAGAGACTAGTACTCAACTTACAACTGTGGTGTATCCTATCTACCATGGTCATAAGTTATGATAGTCGTAAAATGAGGTCACCCCTACGGCCGGTCCAATTTTACAACCTTTTTTCAGTAGCTTTTTCATCTATCTTGAGTCAATACCCCTGTGCACCTTACAATTCGATACAGAAAGAAATATATTACCATTCAAAATATCTCTCTGTGGCTTACAATTCAATACAGGGGGAATATATATATATATATATATATATCAATTAAAAACAGCAAAAGCATTTTAAATGTTTTAAAACAATTAAAAGCACTAAAAACAGAACATCCAGGTTAAATACGCACGACCAGTTAGCAATTCAACCAGATAATATGTATGTTTTAACATCCAGCGCTGGGCGTTTTTTTACAATTTATTTGAATTTTCAGCAGATAAAAAAGCAATAAATATTCCTTGCACAGCTTTAAGTTTACCACTGGCTTCATTCATCCATTCAATTCCTATAGCCTCTCTCTGTGTGTGGTGTGTGTGTGTGTGTGTGTGTGTTTAAAACAAAAGTACTACAAAAGTCCCAATTAAATAACACAATAAGAAACAAGAAAAATACTACAAAAGTCCCAATTAAATAACACAATAAGAAACAATAAAAATGATGCAAAAGTCCCAATTAAATAACACAATAAGGAATAAAAATGCTACAAAAGTCCCAATTGAATAACACAATAAGATAACATGACCAGTTAACTATACAGCCAGCAAATGGGCCCCTTCACACATTCATCATTTCATGTCAGAATTGTTTTGACATTTGATATGAGGTCCATACATTCAGGTAGTCCTTGACTTACGACGAAGCCCAAAATTTACATTGCCAAGTGAGATGTTTTGTTAAGTGTAATTTGGATTCCTTCTACGACCTTGCCAGGGTTGTTAAGTGAATCACTGCATTTGCTAATTTAGTAACTCAGTCGTTAAGTGAATCAGGATTTCCCCATTGGCTTGGCTTGACACTGCGACTGTCATAAATACGAGTCATGGGCCAAGCATCTAAATTCTGATCACGCGATCATGGGAATACTGCAACTGGTCGTAAGAGTGAAAAATGGCCATTTTTAAGCCGCTTCTTTCGGCGGCGTTTGTCACTTCAAACAGTCACTAAATGAACCGTTTTAAGTCAAGGACTACCTGTATTTCATTTTTTTTTTAAAGAAAGGGCTTGGCCCTGAATAAGCCACCTTGAAAGAGTGCGACTTAAACCACGTTAGGGTTTCATCGAAAGATTGCAGCTCTGTGAGGCTGTTGGAATCCGAGCAAAGATTTCTGCAAGCATGCACCCATTCGTTCCCACATGTGATGACCCAAAGGGGCGTGGCACAAAGGCAACCCGGCCAGATAATCAGTAGGATTCCCCTTATTAGCTCCAACTTTGCCCCCAATGTCCTGGTTACCTTCTAGGCTGGAGAAAAACTCTCCCAGGAACAGCCTTTGGCTGCAGAGAATCAAGTCCAAAACATGGTCAACAAAAACTGTAACTATAAGTCCAATCAAGGCAAGATGAGATAATTAGTCCGGCAGGGCAAGAGAAGGAATTCCAGATGTGAAGGCACAGCAATAACTCAACACAGTTGTGAGGATGCCAGGAACGCAGATAACCAAAGTCAACACAAGGTAAACTCACGTTTGTTCCCAGCACACATCGCACTCAGGTTGCATCTCTTTTAAACTCTCTTCCCATGAAGGGAAGAAGGGAATCGGGGCCCTTTCCTCCCCCGTAAGCCATGCAATCCACGTTGCTCTTTTCTCAGTTCCTCCCTGCGTGCCCTAGGATGAAGAGGGGGTGGGCCTGGGTCTTCCTCTGAACTCGTTCTACCTCTCCCCTCCCCTGCCCAGCCAGACTTTGCCCTTCCCCAGTTTCATCCACAGTTAATGGAGCCACACTCCCTCTCCCTGTCAGCTGTTCATCTTCCTCCTCGGATTCAGACTCTGACAGGGGCATGACGCCTGTTGTTCTTCAGCGGATTCTTTCTGAATCCGCTCTTAATCTTAAATTTTGGACAAATGTCTCTTTCAGTCCCAAATTATGCTTTCCTTTTTTTTTAATCTGCCGGTGCATGGAATTTGGACAAAGGATGACAGATCTGTCCGGTGGGGGGAGGTGTTAAAAAAACTGCAGACCTTTTCATGCTGGCTTTTGAGAAAGACTCTGTTGGTAAAAGCGATGCTTGATTGTAGACAGAACTCCCAGGTGTCACGAACGCTTGTTTAACAAGGCAGTGTGCTCGCCGTTTGTGCAGTTTTCAGGCCCGATCACCCAGCGGTTCAATAGGGGCTGATTAATTTGTTGGCGATACACCGAAGCATCACGCCGGCTTGAGTGAGGAGCGGAGAAGTATCGGAGCAGAGAAGTCGATAAGACAAAATCAATGTGATACGGTGGTTGGGATTCAGGGGAGAGAGTCACAGCGTGACTTTAATGGTCTTCTACTCACCTGAGAACAGGTGCCAGCCCTGGGGTTTTTTTCTTTGCCAGACCTGACCAAAGCCAGTTGTAGATTTCTCCTAATGTGGCCAGGGTTATGTCTCTGTTCTGACCAAGGCTTCCTGAGACCATAATTAAGCACACGCTTAGCCCAAACAACTCTTGTTTTATTTCAATGCTGGGGATTATGTTCATTCCCAGCCCGTAATGAGTCCCAAACAGTCACTCGAGATAAGCACCCACCTTTCTCTCCTTTGAATGGCTGCCAACAACTAAAGTGCCAAATGAATTATAAAAAAACCAACTGAAGTACAAAGTCCACACAGCTTCAGGGTTTAATCCAAACAAGCGAACCTTTGCTTCCTGCAAAGGTTTCTCTACCTTTGCACTTCCTTTATCCCTTAGGGGAGGGGCAATCACCTCCCAGCCTTACTCCTGAGTTGCCCCTTTTGTCTCAGCTGCTCTCGCCTTCTATCAGCTTGTTCCTCTGCCTCGCTGCTGCCAGACTCTGGAGGCTCTGGAGTCAGCACCCCATTCCCAGATGGTCCTGGCCCCACCTCTGTATTGGATGCAGGACCCTCCTCCGAGTCTTCCCAAGAGTCCCGACTGGTCCCTGTTCTCCCCCACTGTCCGATTCCGCTGCCGTCTGTACAGGCTGCCGGCGAACCCCAACGCTCTCCATCAGCTGCATCAGGAAATATGTTCTATTTCTTCTAGAACTTCTTCTCTTTGCTGGACCTGGACTTCACGTTGGCCAAGGTTGGCTTAGAAATCAGGTAGCGTTTGGAGTAAACTCCTTGGGTGATGCTCCAGGCTCAACCCAAAAAAACAAACAAACTTGAGATGGGACAGACAGGTGGCCTACAACATCCTGTTAGTGATGAAGGATGGGCCTTGCTGTTGTCAACTCCACCTGTATAGAATAGAATGAGATGGAAGGGACCTTGGAGGTCTTCTAGTCTAGCTCAAGCAGGAGAACTTATAACATTTCAGATAAGTGACTGTCTAGTGGTCTCTTCTTTAAATAACCTGCAGTGATGGAGCGCCCACGATTTCTGGTGGCAAACTGTTCCACTGGTTAATTATTGTCTTTATTGTTCATTCCAGGTTGCTTCTCTCTTTGATTTGTTTCCACCCATTGTTTCTTGCCTTACCTTCTGGTGCTTTGGAAAATAATTTGACCCCTCCCTCTTTGCGGAAGCCCCTCAAATACTGAAATACTGCTATCATGTCCCCCGCCCCCGCCAGTCCTTTTCTCTAGACTAGCCAATCCCTGCAGATGTTCTTCCTGTGTTTTCATCTCCAGGCCTTTAATCATCTTAGTTGCTCCTCTTTGCACGTTTTTTTTTTCCCCCAAAGCCTCAACATCTTTTTTTTGTAGCATGGTGTCCAAAATTGGTTGCGGTATTCGGGTGTGGCCTTACTAGGGCTTTATAGAGGTAGTAATACTTCACGTGATTTTGATTCTATCCCTCCGTTTACACAACCCAGGATTGTGTCAGGTTTCTTGGCGGCTGCTGCACACGACTGGCTCATATTCAAGTGATCGTCCGCTAGGACGCCAAGGTTCCTCTCGCAGTTACCGTTTAACCAAGACTGAAGACTTTTTTTTTCCACTTAAAGGGGAAGTCTTCATGATTTTACCCTAGCGGGCTTACTCAAGGAAGCGTTTTTGCCCTAACTTCATCAGCAGTAGAGGGTTGTCCTCGACTTAACGTCCACAGTACGTTTATGTCACTAATGCGGGACAATTGAGTTTCACTACAGTGAGAAATTTGTCAAGTGAGTTTTCGCCCAAGGTTACGGCTTCTCTCTTCAGCAAATCACCGCCGTTGTTCTGCGAGTAACACGGTCGTTAAGCGAATCCAGCATCCCCATTGGCTTGTCAGATGGTAGCAAAAGGGGATCATGGGACCCCGGGTCACACACTGTGACCATCATTAATATGAATCAGTGCACGAGCATCTCCATTTTGACCACCACGGGAGGCGTTGCAATGGTCATCAGTGTTAAAAAAAATGGCCGTAAATCCCTTTCCCCAGTGACGTCGTAACTTCGAACAGTCACTAAATGAAACTCTTGTAAGTCAAGGATTATCTGCACCTTCAAAGTCCTGTCCAGTTCCCCGATGGGGGATCAGCCCCCCCAATGCTCCCTTCTCGCCCTTGGAAACTGCAATCTGGTTTTTTAAAGAGAAGAAGAAGCAGAAAATTTATTTTCCTTGCCCTGTTTTCTCGTTCTTTTCCCTCCCTCCCTGCTATACTAGACCGATAAACCAGAGATATATATATATATATATTATCTGCAGATCGCTGGGAGGCAGGTGTGCCAGTCAGAATTCACTTCCTTGTTATTATTATTATTTCAACCTGGAGGGTGTGCAGGCACGATTTCAAATTATGCCACCTTATCTTGACATTTTGTGGGGCCTCGCGCTGATGTATGAGGACGCATCTGATCAAAATGGGTGTGTGTTTGTGTGTGTGTGTGTGTGTGTAGCTCTCCCCCCTCCCTTTCTCTTAGAGATGTGTCATCCAGATAACTTGCAAGAGATCAAAGTTAGTTCTCTCTTTCTCTCCCCTTTCTCAGAAAAAGAAAGAAAGAAAGAAAGAAAAAATAGCTGAGAGCGCCAACAGCTTTTCCTGGTTCTTAACCAGGCGATCCTGTTTGCTGGCAGAGAGCGGCTTGGGGGGGGTGAAAGGATCTGGCTTCTCTGATGGTCCTCACTGAAATTCCAGATCAAGAATGGGGTTTGGGGGGGTCTCTACCCAGGTCCCCATAGGGATGCGGTGGCTCAGTGGCTAAGATGCACAGCTTGTCGATCAGAAAGGTCAGCAGTTTGGTGGTTCGAATCCCCAGCGCCGCGTCACGGAGTGAGCTCCCGTTCCTTGTCCCAGCTTCTGCCAACCTAGCAGTTCGAAAGAATGTAAAAAAAAAAAAAATGCAAGTAGGAAAATGAGGACCCCTTTGGTGGGAAGGTAGCAGCGTTCCGTGCGCCTTCGGCGTTTAGTCATGCCGGCCACATGACCAGGGAGACGTCTTCGGACAGCACTGGCTCTTCTTTGGCTTTGTAACGGAGGTGAGCACCAACCTCTAGAGCCGGAAATGATTAGCACGTGTGTGCAAGGGGAACTTTTACCTATTTCTATCCTGGGGGGGCGTTGTCTCCAGTCAAGGGGAGCTTTGCAAACCCCTTTGAGACGTCCAAGCAATTGAGATGGCTGCTTCTTCGAAAGTCCACCAGCTGCTCTCCATGAATGCCAAGGTGTGCTTCTTCTTCTTCTTTTTTTAACAAATTTTATTCAGTTTTTCACATAAAAACAAAAATCTCTTTTTAGTGGACAACATATTTCTGGGTCATCACCTTTACATATAAATATGACAGTAATTATACATTCATATATGCATACTTAATTCTATTCTTACCTTTTCCATTCCAAATTTTCAGTAAGGAGAGAAACAAACACATTAATTCTAGCCTCTTTCATTAATCTCAATCAAAACATCTTTCTGTTTCATTTCAATTATTTCAAATATAATCCTTTAATATTTACTTTAAAAATAAAGATAAAAAATATGTGTTTGCCTAATAATAATAATAATAATAATAATAATAATAATAATAATAATAATAATAATAGGTTGCTAATGTCTCTCCTTGTTTTTAATCGTCTATATGACTTATTAATTTAGTTGGTTCTTTAGTCTGTCATATTCCCTTTCCATTACACATTCTTTTTATAAATTCTAAATTAATACAAATTTTAACACTAAAGAAAAAAAACAAGTATAGGTTTCCCCCCTTTTACTGCTTTGAGTGTGACACCTCAATGGTTAAAATATACCTTTATTCCCTCATCTTGATTCCCAATAAACCATTATTTTTAAGAAGTTACAATAATAATCATTATATCGTTTCATTTGGATTCCGCAGCATATTTCCCCCCTAATTTTTAATAAGCGTTATCAATATCTATATTACCCTATTTTCTAAATATTTTAATTGCAGAAATATTCTTATTATCCCTTGTCACCCTACAGAATCCCCTTTTTAATTCATCAACCATTATCTCTGAAAAAACAATTTCTTTTCAACATTTTACTATTTCTGTATTTCTTTATTTCATGCACCTGTTTCTTACTGCTTCTCCCCACCCTCTTTTCCCCATATCTTTTCTCATTCCAGTTTATATCCCTCTCTTTCTTAATATCTTCCTTTCCCCTTTTCTGCTGGGTCTTTCTGCCTTTCCTGACTTCACAGGTATGATTGCCTTCTTAAGTCTCAACTTTTTAACCTTCCTTCTTTCCCCACTTCTTTGCAGCGTTCTTTGTGTTAATTGTCTATTTAAGATGTCTTCTCCTTGAGTCGACTCCTCCTCCTCTGAAGCTCTTTCTTCTTGTTCTTCAATCGCCATTTCCATTTTTAATAACACAGAGCAAAGTGATTCGCCTCTTTCCTGTAGTAATTCTCTCATATTTTTAAGTTCCATTTTTAATTCCCGAAGAGATATCATCATTACACACACTTGTATTTTATGATCGTTAAAGTCCACAAAAATACACTTTTACTTTCCTTCTTTCTTCTTTCAATGTTCTAAAGTTCTCAATTGTTCCAGCCCAGGGTCTATACCAAAAACATCACTCAATCCCACAGTCAGTCTTTCCTTGCTTTTTTCTTTATTCTAGTTTTGCTTTCACTTTCTAAGTTTCTTATTTTGTTTCAATATTTCTTTAATGTTATATCCACACAAGTTCATTCAGAAACAGGATGCTTACCCTTTTGTTTGAGCTCAAGTTTTTGTCAAAAGGTGGCACTCTCCATTATACAAAGTCTTCACCTTTTTCCCCTATTTTTTTATTTAGGGTTTTTTGAACCTCAATATTCCAACACAGTCCAGTCTCCAATTTATAAACTTTATTATTATTATTTTTTGACAATCTTAAGTCCAGCTTTATTTTATGCCTGTTTAGTCCGAAAATATTCCCGAAACCCCGCTTAGCTGTCAGAAATATTTTCTTATTTTTTTTCCTGTCCCTTTGTAATTTCGCTACTCACTTTTCTTTTCTTAAAAATTCCATGTTACCTTAATCCCGGGGTACTTTTGTTTAGTTGCATCGCCCAATTGTCCTGGTTCAGATGTTATCCACCTCTTCCTTCCCTCCTGCACAAATCTTAATCCAGCTGAGTCCTCCTCTTCGGGGTGGCCATTTTAAACCACCGCTGCAGTCGTCTTCGGGGAGGGGGAAAGACCAAGCCCAGGAGGGGAGATGCGGCCCCTCCCCCCTGGCTTGCGGCTTCCCCTTACTCCGCCGCCCCTCCAAGGCAGCTTCAGCCCCTAATCGTAATGATTGGGGCTCTCCAACGAAAGAGCACGGATCATAGCCGCAGAGAGATGCGATCTACGGTCTGTCAGCGAGGAGGCTCCGCCTTCTTCCCCCGCCAAGGTGTGCTTCTCATCCCCACGGTCACATGATCAAAATTCAGATGCTTGGCAAGAGGTTCATACTTACGACTGCTAGAGTGTCACAGAGTCACATGATCCCCTTTTACAACCTTCTGACAAGCCAGGGAAAAGCCAGATTCACTTAACAACTGGGTTACTAACTTACCATTTGCAGTGATTCAATTCAAAGGCTTAACAAATATCTCATTTAACAACAAGACATCGTGGGCTCCGTTATGGTCATACATTGAGTGCATTTTCCTGCTTTGATCTCTTGATTTTGTGTCGAAGGGTTCTAATGTAGATCCCAGCAAGGGGATCTATTCCTGCCAGTCTTCCAAAGGGTAGAGATTTTATTAGCCAAATATCCGGACCAAACCGCCTCCTGATCTGGCCACCGTTTGCTTGGACGGAAGCGAGCTTTCATGGACGGCTCCTCCCGAAATCTCTTCTGCGGCCCTCACTCTTCAAACTCTCTCGTTTCAGATGGCAGCTCTCCAGAGCCCCTTCTACGGCGATAAAATGAACCTCTTCTCCCTCTGCCAGAAGATTGAGCAGTGTGATTACCCACCTCTGCCAACCGAACATTACTCCGAGAAGGTAAGATCCTAAGCCACGCGGCAGAACTTCTGTTCCGACCCAGGCTTCCCAAAATCGTGAAGCAGACTCCTTGTCCTGACAAAACCCCTTTTATTTAGGCTAAAGTGAATTCCCTCTCATTCACATCCAGCAAAGTCCCGGCAAACCGTCTTTCAAGAGTGATTTACACTTACGGTATTTTATCAGCCTTGGAGAGTTGCCAGGCTGATAGCTTCCAAATGCCACGCTGTAGCAGAAAATACTTGGCCAGGAGTCAGGAACAAATCTTCACCCTCATTAAATGTAAACTCCACTCCCCTTTTGCTCCTCTTTGGGAGGGGCCATTCACTGTTCACCTATGCCTTTAATCCCGAGTCGATCCTTGTTCCTTAATTGTTCCCTTCTCCTGGCAGCTCTGTGCATGTGCACGATGGGAACAGGCTCCAGCTGTTCTTCTGCCCCACTGATCTCCAACTGCGAAGGCAGATGATAACTGTCGGACACCCTGGCCCCATCTCTGCCTCTGATGCAGAGCCCTCGTCCGAGCCTTCCCCAGACTCCAGGACTGGCCCATGTTCCTCCCCAACCTCCTCACTCTCCGAATCTGCCGCCAGCTCCTCTGGCTGCTGGCCGGCCATAACAACTTCTGCCTGCTACTAAAGCCTCGATGGGGAGGAGGGGAGAGAAGCCAGGGGGACAAAAAAAAACAATTTAAGCTTTTCGGATTCTCAAGCTGGGCTGGTGGTCTTTGAAAGCAGGAGGACTCAAAGATGCCAGGGAGAGAAGGAGGGTACGGGGGCTACCTGGCTTGGGTTCCTTTCCCAGGTGCGTTGCCTAGCATGGCTGGCTCCAGCCGCGGTCCAGGCATTTTGATATTTAACCTAATCTCATTTAAGTTTTTGGATCATTTCAAGGCAGGAATGGACTTTAAGGAAGTTCAAAGAGCCAGCTTTGCTTGATCTTAATCGCTTGCGAAATGTACCAGGTGAAAAGGGAATGCGAGGAGGGCATTTATTGGAAGTGGAACCGCTTTGCCTCCAGAAACTGTGGGTGCTTCATCACTGGAGGTTTTTAAGAAGAGACTGGACAGCCATTTGTCTGGAGTGGTATAGGTTCTCCTGCTTGAGCAGGGGGCTGGACTAGAAGACCTCCAAGGTCCCTTCCAGCTTCTATTCTATTATATTCAGGTAGAATAGAATAGAGGGGAGGGAAGGGAAAGGAAGGGGAGGAATGGAATGGAATAGAATAGAATTAGAATTAAAAATAGAACAGAACAGGAAAGAATGGAATAGAATAGAATAAGAATAGAATTAATGGAATGGAATTGGAATTGGAATTGGAATTGGAATTGGAATTGGAATGGAATGGAATGGAATAGAATAGGAATAGAATAGAATAGAATAGAATAGAATAGAATAAGAATTAGAATAGAATAAGAATTAGAATAGAATTAGAATAAGAATAAGAATAAGAATAGAATAGAATAGAATAGAATAGAATAGAATAGAATAGAATAGAATAGAATAGAATAGAAGAAATAGGGAATGGAATGGAATAGGAATAGAATAGAATAAGGAAAGAACAGAACAGAATATGGAAGGGACCTTGGAGGTCTTCTAGTCCGGCCACTTGCTCAGGCAGCAAACCTCATACCATTGCAGACAAGTGTCTAGTCTCTTCTTAAAAACCTCCAGTGATGGAGCAGCCACAACGTCTGGTGGCAAGCTGTTCCCCCAGTTAATTGTCCTCAAATCAGTTGAGCCCTTCCTCTTCTTTGTGGCGGCCCCTCAAATACTGGAATACTCCTATCCTGTCGCCCCCCCTCCCCCATTCTTCTTTCCTCTAGATTAGCCAAACCCCAAACCTGCGGCCATTCTTCATACGTTTTGAGTCTCCAGGACTTTGACCCTCTTAGTTTGCTCTTCTTTGCACTCTCCCCCCCCCCAGAAAAAATGTCTCAACCTCTTGTTTGCAGCGGGGTGACCAAAATCTCAGCGGCCTTACTAGGGTTTTATAAAGCGGTACCGATCCTTCCCAGTGATCTTGATTCGAGGCCTTCAAATCCATGCCGTTGGAGCCTAGGTGTAGGACAAGGCACCCGGTTGAGCCTCTTCCGGCTCCATCCGAATTGCCCCGGGCCAAGCCCCTCCCTCCAGCCCTCAGCCCTCCTGCGGGCCATTGACCTCTGCCCGGAAAGCACGGCCTGATCCACCGGGCCTGGATGTGGGGCAGCCGTCCTCCTAATTACCGATGAAATAATTACCTCCCTGGCTGCTGAGAGGAGGGGTGGATAGAAGATCAAGGGGTCCACGGCTGGTTTTTCCTAGGTGCCACGGGGTATGACGTGCCGCTTCCCGGGCTTAATAATTAAAAGCTCCCAGCCTTTCAAGTGCAAAATGAAAAGAAACAGAAGGGGCGTTTCTCCGTGGCTGATTAGGCGAGCAAAGGAGCAAGTAGGTCACCGCGGGGCAGTGTTGTCCGTCTCGAGGAGTTTCCCAGGCCAGAAGCAAACTTGTTTTTGCAGGAAGAAGTTTTCTTGGAGAACAAGTTGGCTCCGTCAAAAGATGCCGGGGAAACATCTCTCTCTCTCTCTCTCCTTCTTCAGACCATCCCACCGCAGGGCTCCAGTCCAATAACTATCTGGGAAACAGCCCAAGATAGTCCTGTTGTTGAATCCCGCCAGAAAAGCCAGCCAAGCAAGCATTCCTTGGGTGGAAGAACCTCTGTTGGGTGTTCTCCAAGCATTCTAGGCTCCTGGAAATTCTCATAGATAGATAGGTAGGTAGGTAGGTAGGTAGATAGATAGATAGATAGATAGATAGATAGATAGATAGATAGATAGATAGATAGATAGATAGATAGATAGATAAGATAGGTGATTAGATAGGTAGGTAGGTAGGTAGGTAGGTAGATAGATAGATAGATAGATAGATAGATAGATAGATAGATAGATAGATAGATAGATAGATAGATAGATGATAGATGATAGATAGATGATAGATGATAGATAGATGATAGAGAGACATAGATAGAAAGAGAGAGACATAGATAGATAGAAAGAGAGAGACATATATAGATAGATAGATAGATAGAGAGAGATAGATAGATAGATAGATAGA